GGAATATCGGATCGCCCGTACAACCGTGTTGGATATTGTGGATTGGTATGAAAAGTATTTGTATCGAGGGAACTGGGATGAAGCTGTTAAGCCAGGGTCCTTGGGAGTAGAGCGTTCGAGATTGATGGGATTAGAAATGTCGGTGTCGATTTGGAATTGATAAAATTACGTGGTAGAAATTGGGATTAGGATTTTTGGAATGGAATTGGTGATCTGAGAATAGTGAGGTTGGAAATACGTTGAAAGAAGAAGTTAGAATTGAGATCCAGGGGAAGGTGGGAAATTAGTTTGGAATTTTTGGGATGGAAGAAAGATTTCTTAAAGGGTGTTTGAGAGTAAGTAAATTGGGGTGGGATTAGAAATATTGATGTAGATTTGAAATTGATAAAAATACATAGTATTAGAAATTGCTTATGATTTTTGGAGTTGGTGATTTAAAGAATAATATCTTGAGAGATTAGAAATAAAAGTTGAAAAGAAGTTTAAATTGAGATCCAGGGGAAGATGGAAAATTAGTTGCAATTTGGAATTTTTGAGATACAAGAAAGATTTCTTAAAGAGTGTTGAAATGAAAGTAAATAAATTGGGGTGGGATTAGGAATATTGATGCAGATTTGAAATTGATAAAATTACATAGTAGAAATTGCTTATGATTTTTGGATTGATTTAGAAAATAATATCTTGAGAGATAAAAGTTGAAAAAAAGTTTAAATTGAGATCCAGGGGAAGATAGAAAATTAGTTTGGAATTTGGAATTTTTGGGATGCAAGAAAGATTTCTTAAAGAGTGTTTGAAAGTAAGGAAATTGGGGTGGGATAGAAATATTGATTTGAAATTGATAAAAATACATAGTAGTAGAAATTGCTTATGATTTTTGGAGTGATTTAGAGAATAATATCTTGAGAGATTAGAAATAAAAGTTGAAAAAAAGTTTAAATTGAGATTCAGGGAAAAATGAAAAATTAGTTGCAATTTGGAATTTTTGGGATAGAAGCAAGATTCCTTCAAGGATGTTTGAAAGTAAGTAAATTGGTGGGATTAGAAATATTAATGTAGATTTGAAATTGATAAAATTATATAGTAGAAATTGCGTTTGCGATTTTTGACATGGAGTTGATGATTTAGAGAATAATATCTTGAGAGATTAGAAATAAAAGTTAGAATTGAGATTCTGAAAGAGGGAGAGATAGAAAATTAGTTGCAATTTGGAATTTTTAGGATAAAAAAAAGAATATTGGGAGAAATTGAAATTGATAAAATTGTAATATAAATTTTGATTTATTACTATAGAGTGTTCTTATAGAATCTTCTTGAGTTAGAGATTGAAGTATTGACGTAGGTTTGAAAATGATGAAATCGTAATAGAAGTTGCGATTGAGATTTATTAGAGGGACTTCAGTTCCTTGAGAATTAGGAATCTCTAGAACTTTAAGATTGAAATACTAACCTAACTTTGTAGTAGATTTATGACAGATTTGATCTACATAGGCGTGGATCAGAACTCTGCCACAATTTAATCGCGCAAATTTTGAACCAAACGTCATTTCTCAATAATCATCGATACGCGTATCACTTGGTTCCAGCGGAAAATTAAAAAATTAAAAAATTAAATACAAATTTACATTTCTCTACTTTGCTCTAGGATCTAGATAAACCTATTCTTTTCCAATATATTGGCTCTAACGTACTAGTGGTCTTTATCTCGACGTGTCACTATTCAAATCGATTCAATTCGATTGAAAAAATCAAAACCTCGAGATAATTTTCCTTCAGTCGCATTGTTCTTCGATGCGCACAGTTTTTTGATATTTTTGCACGACAAAAATTCGATTCGCTCCGCGCTATCTTGCTGCAACCCTGTTATCAATCCCCGGGATATGAAAAAAGTCGAATTATTAAAAAATTTCGTCGATTGCACCCCCCTGTAACGGGGAGGAGAAAGGGATCAAAGTTCCCTTGGCAAAGGTTTATCGAGGCTGAAGAATCCTCGCCGGATTTGAAATGTTAAAAAGCGAACGCGTTGCAAAAACGGGGGAAATGAGATATCTCGCGCCTGATGAAAGGGCCATCTTCTACGTGTATTTGTGCCCAATGCGTTGCTTCTGCGCCCGCGTGTACAATAAATAATGGAAAACGGAATGTTTCGGAATGTTGACGATTCAGGAAATGAAATTCCACGGTGCGGAGCCTCGTCCGTCCACGAAACAACTCCAAGATTTATTATTTTTTATTGCGCGCGTTGCATATTTTAATGCTAAGCGAGGAATGAAAATAGTGGAAAGAAGACGATGGACACGTATATCTACGCCTAGGCGAAACTCTCTTTCTCTCCGTTCTTCGAGATCGTCGAGATGTTTGTGGAAGTGAATTTTTGAAATTTTTCTTTTTTTTTTTTTTTTCCCTTTTTAAACATGTGTGTTTCGCGAAATTTCGTTCGCGAATTAAAGTTCACTTTCGAAAATCTTCGAAATTTTTTTACGTTTCTTTTTCGCAGTTATTTTTTTCGATTCGAAACCGTTACGATTAGAAACAATGAGAAACGAGAAACTATAAGAAACAATTTCTATAAAAAGTCATTGCAGAATTGTGAAAAACTA